TGGGACTTCAATACCGCGAATCAACGTAAGTGTTGCGCCTTGACACTCCGACATCGTTGCAAAACATAATTTCTGGTACGTCAACAGTGAGAATCCTTAAAACTGTCGCAAACTCGTCAAACGAACGTGCGCGGCGCTCAAGCGAGAGCCACATTGTGAAAAGGAGCCGCCCTCCATCCGTGAATCTTTTGCCATTGTTTAAACCGAGAATGCGCGGCGCTAAGGCGAAAGCCACATGTTGAACGCGGTCCGCCATCCATCCGTGAAACTCGTGCAAACTGTTAAGGCGAACGTGCGCGGCGCTCAGGCGAGAGCCACACTTTGAAAGTGGACCGACCTCCATTCGTGAAGCCCTTGCAAATTTAAGCTGAGGGATGAGAAAAAAGCGAGGAAGTTTCAGGATCGGGCAGGGAGGGAAGGGGGAGGGAGAAGGGAGAAGTGCAAACTAGGTGTGCTCACGACACATCTAAGCACCTATCCCTTCCAACCACACCTTCCCATTATGATGGGTTATTATGTTATTCCTCCGATCTGGGTGCCAAGAAAGTTGGAGGAGGAGGAGGAGGAGCAGGAGCAGGAGGAGGGAGGAGAAGAAGAGGACGGATGTAGCTGGAGGAGGAGGAGGAGCAGCAGCAGCAGCAGCAGCAGCAGCAGCAGTAGGGGTTGGAAGAGCCGGAGGACCAGGAGAGAGCAGAGGAGGCAGAGAAGCGAGACGGCAACGACGAGGAAGACATCACATCGAGAAAGGTGGCCCGCGTTGTGGCGAGAGCGCCATCCTGTTAGACGGGAGCAAAGCACCGATCTTGAAATGTGGCCAGCGTTGCAGCGGGAGTACCGCCTATGAAGGACAGAGAACGTACCGATTGAAAACGCACATGTGAAGAGTCAATGTTGACATATTGCCTGTGAAACTATGCGGCAGCGCGGCGGCAAACAAGCCATCACTGCAGGGGGAGAGGAGAATAGTATTCGCATTGTGAAACATCTAGCAGGGAGAAGGGCTGAGAACGAGGAGGAGGAATGAGGAGCAGGCGGAGGAGGAGAGGAGAGGAAAGGAGGCGGAGGAGGAGGAAGACGAGGAGGCCATGTAGGAGGGAGGATAGAGGAAGCGGAGGAGGGGGAGGAGAAGGGGGAGGGAGGGCGGGATGGGCATGAGGAGGAAAAGGACCAGCAGCCGAGGATCGGAGGAGGAGGAGGAGGATGATGATGAGGAGGAGGAGGAGGAGGAGGAGGAGGAGGAGGAGAAAGAGGGAGAGACCAAGCAGGGGGGAATGGAATGGAACAATGACGGTGCCATATCAAACGCCACACCTCTGCAATCCACGGCGACCGCGAGCAATGAAAGGTGCTGCGCCGCCCGCCGCACGAAGACAAACGGGACGAGCGAAGGCGCAAAAAACATCTGCTGCTGCACGAAGGGGCCCCGAAACGCTAAACGTGGAAGCCACGAATGCTAAAGATAACTGCGTGCCGAGCTTCTGTGAATCAAATCGATGACCGAAGGCATTCGCCGGTCCGAATGTGTGACGTATTGTTGCACTCCCCTCCTTTGCTGTCGTTCGTGGCTGTCGTGGCCAGACGCGCCCCTCGACGCTCGAACGGCAGGGACCCGCTCCCCCCTGCCGCCGCTCCCTCGGCCGCTTGCCGAACAGGCTGACTTGGTTGTCCCACTCCACGGCGTCCACCTGCACTCCTCCTCCTCCTCCTCATCCTCCTCCTCTCCTCCTCCTCCTCCTCCTCCTCCTCCTCCTCCTCCTCCTCCTCCTCCTCCTCCATTCCTCCTCCTCCTCCTCCTCCTCCTCTCCTCCTCCTCCTCCTGCTCCTCCTCCTCCCCTCCTCTCCTCCTCCTCCTCCTCCCTCCTCCTCCTCCTCCTCCTCCTCCTCCTCCTCCTCCTAGATCCAAGGAATCCGCGCGGAACCTCCGACAGTTTAAGTTTATGCCGTTTTGTGTTTCCTCTAAGGCCAGGCCCCTCCTGGCCCTCCTCCTCCTCCTCCTCCTCCTCCTCCTCCTCCTCCTCCTGCTCCTGCTCCTCCTCCTCTCCTCCTCCTCCTCCTCCTCCTCCTCCTCCTCCACCTTCTGCTCCTCTCCTCCTCCTCCTCATCCTCATCCTCCTCCTCCTCCTCCTCCTGCTCCTCCTCCTCATCCTCATCCTCCATGTGTGCGTCGCTCAGGCAAGAGTTTCCCTGAAGGCGGTGCTAATGGTGGCAGCAGCTTGCCTGTGCGCCTTTGCGCACGCCACTGGGCTCGTGCCAGCCTCTCTGCGCTGGCCAGCGCGCTGGCGGCCCGCTCGGCCTACAGTAGGAGAACGTAGGCGCCCTCGGCTCTCGTCTTAGTAGACGGTGCGGCGTCCCATGGTTATTCCTATTCCTCCTCCTCCTCCTCCTCCTCCTCCTCCTCCTCCTCCCTCTTCCTCCTCCTCCTCCTCCTCCTCCTCTCCTCCTCCTCCCCTCCTCTTCCTCCTCCACCTCCTCCTCTTCCTCTCCCTCGTCCTCCTCCTCGTTCCTCCTCCCCCTCCCTCCTCCTCCTCCTCCTCCTCCTCCTCCTCCTCCTCCTCCTCCTCCTCCTCCTCCTGCATCTCCTCCCTCAGGTTTCTCCTCCTACCCCCTCCTCCTCTTCCCCCTCCTCCTCTTCCTCCTCCTCTTCCTCCTCCTCCTCCTCATCCTCCTCATCCTCCTCCTCTTTCTCCTCCTTCTCTTCCTCCTCCTCCCTTCTCCTCCTCCTCCTCCTCCTCCTCCTCCTCCTCCTCCTCCTCTCCTCCTCCTCCTCCTCCTTCTTCTCCTCCTCCTCCTCCTCCTCCTCCTCCTCCTCCTCCTCCTCCTCCTCCTCCTCCTCCTCCTCTCCTCCTCCTCTTTCCTCCTCCTCTCTCTCCTCCTCCTCCTGCTCCCTCCTCCTCCTCCCTCCCTCCTCCTCCTCCTCCCCTCCTCCTCCTCCTCCTCCTCCTCCTCCTCCTCCTCCTCCTCCTCCTCCTCCTCCCTCCTCCTCCTCTCCTCCTCCTCCTTCCTCCTCCTCCTCCTCCTCCTCTATTCTCCTCCTCCTCCTCCTCCTCCTCCTCCTCCTCCTCCTCCTCCGTCCTCCTCCTCCTCCTCTCCTCCTCCTCCTCCTCCTCCTCCCTCCTCCCTCTCCTCCCTCAGGTTCCTCCTGGCCCTCGCTGAACCGGCGACGCGCACGCCCACGACGCCAGCGGCGAGCACCGGCAAGATGAGCCGCAGCTGGCGGCGCCGGCGCCGCAGCTCGTCGCTCCAGGGCACGGGCGCTACTTCGAAGACGTCCAGCTCCAAGGCCACGACCAGGCCGTGCGCCTCACAAAGCTGCGCCTTGAGCTTGGCGACGGCCGCGTCCGCAGCCGCCCGGGCGCGCCAGGCCGCGACAGAGCGCTGCGCTCGGGTACGCCCACCAGCCCCCGGGTGGGACCCATCCCGCGCCACAGTGGAGATGGAGGTGGAGGAAGAGGACCAGTGGAAACCCAAGACGCAACAACGATGTTGCAGAACTCTCCCTCCACGTTCCCCCTTCATTGGTCCCTACAAAGTGCGTTCATTGCGGGAAGTGCCCCATTGAAAGACACCCGCTTGAGAAACCTCCATCGTGCCAAAACCACCGTTCCTGGGACTTCAACGCCGCGAATCCATGTGACTCTTGCGTCCGGAAGATCCTCAGTCTTACCAGAACGTTTCTCTTGGAAACGCCACCACCGCGAATCAAAGTTATTGTTGAGTCGTGGCAACCCTAAGCCGTACCAAAACACGACTCTTGGGACTTCAACCGTACGAATCCTTGAAACAGTTACAGACGTTTGAAGACGAGTGTGCGCGCCGCTCAGGCGAGAGACAAATCTCGAAAAGGAACCACACTGGATGCGTGAAGCTCTTGCAAATTTCTGAGACGAATCGGTGCTGCGCTCCGATGGGAGCCACATGCGGAAGAGGAGCCAGCATCCATCCGTGAAGCCCTTTGCACTGTCTGAGACGAGTGCGGGCGGCGCTGAGGCGAAAGACGCGTGTTCAAGTCGACCCGCCCTCTATCCGGGAAGCTCTTGCAGACTTGGAAGACGAGTGTGCGCAACGCTAGAGCGAGAGCCACACGTTGAAAGCGGTCAGCCGTTCATCCGTGAAGCTCCTGCGAAGTCTGAGGCTGCAGGATCATGTATGCTGAGGAAGCCTCAAGCGAAACGCCCGGCCCAGCCTACGGACAACTCTCGGGATGCGAGAGCGAGGATTTTTTTGTCAGGAACAGGTATGGAGGAGGAGGAGGAGGAGGAGGAGGAGGAGGAGGAGGAGGAGGAGGAGGAGGAGGAGGAGGTTGTCGTCGAACGCGGGCGTGGGGCATTACGTGTGCTCCATAATTCCAGGCGGGGGGGGGGCAGGCGGGCATGAGGGAGGAGGGGGAGGAGGGGTGGGAAAGAGGGGGAGGGAGGAAGAGAGGACAGAGGGAGGACGACGGAACAGGAGCGACGAGGGGCTAGGGCTGGAGGAGGGGGGAGGGCAAGCTAGGTGCGCTCGCGTCATATCTGACATCCTACCCCTCTCTCCCATCCCTTACCATGGCGCGGATCCCCTCTCTACTCGCTCAGTCGGATGTCGAGCAGGGCAATGATCCCGAAAGGGTACGCGATGCATTGTAGAGCACGGCATGGCATGGCGTAGAAGAGCACCGCAAAGCGTAGTATCAACCTAGCATTGCATTGCATGCCGTGGCATGGCACGGGAAATGACGCCAGCGCTGCAGCGGGAGCACGAGTCGAAACGAGCGGAAGCGCGGAATGAGGCCAGCGCTGAGCGGGAGCCAACGGCGCAGCCAGCGTTGCAGCGGGAGCACGATTCGGAACGAGCGGGGCCCGAAAATGACGGGCGCCTCCGGCGAGAGCAGCATTTTGAAAAAAAGTGCAGGCGAAAACCCAACTCCGGGGAAACCTGTGAGCAAAAAAACAGGACGCGGGGGGGGGGGGGGGGGGGCTCGGCCGCTTTCAAACCGTCCTCAGGGGAAGAGGGAGAGTAGGATTCATATGGAGTAACTGTGGAGGGTCGAGGGCAACGATGCCAACGACGACGACGAGCCCAGTGCACCGCCCAACGAGGACGCGCCGCCGGAGGAAGGGCCCCCCGCGCAGCCGGCTGCCGCGCCCGAGGCCAGCGGGGCCCGTGGTCGGTTGGCCACGGCGAGGCCCAGACCTCCTGGCGTCCTCCATCCTCCCTCCATCCTCCTCCTTCCACCTCTTCCTCCTCCTCCTTCTCCTCATCCTTCCTCCCTCATTCCCTCCTCCTCCTCCTCCTCCCCCTCCTCCTCCTCCTCTCGTCCTCCCCTCTCCTCCCCCCCTCCTCTCCTCCTCCTCCTCCCTCCTCCTCCTCCTCCTCCTCCTCCTTCCTCATCCTCCTCCTCCTCCCCCCACCGCATGTGGATGGCAGGCAACTCCGAGGCAACTTCTCCTCCTCCTCCTCCTGCTCCATTCCTTTTCCGTACCAATAATTCCTCCCTATCACGCTCCGAGGACGGTCGAAAGGGCGGGCCGGGCGTTTCGCCTGAGATTTCCTCACCATTTGTGACCCTGAATCCTAAATAACATTGTTCACTGCGTGGAGCTCCCCATATGTGCATTGGACCTTTCCGCTGTGAGTGTCAGGCGCAAGCGACTTCGAATATAGACGGATTTTGATATTGATAGATCGGGAGTGAGTTTCAGTAGTACGAGTGAGTCTGTGCGCATGAGCCTGGGGCTCCTGAAACCTCTTGGGGCTTCCTGGTGCCTCCTGGAGCCGCTTGGGGCCTCCTGGGGCCTCTTAGGACTTCCTGTGACCTCCTCAGGTCTCCTGGGGCCTCGTGTTGCCTTTTGGGGCCTCCTGGGACATCCTGGGGAGGGTTCGTGTCCCAGGAGAAGCCCTATATATGTATATATATATATATATATATATATAAATATGTATGTATATATAGGAACCGACGTACACACAAAACACTGCGGATCGGAACCACAGGAGAAGGGCAAGATGTAGGAACACACGTAAATCACCAAGGATTCGTGCCCAAGGGGAGGCCCAATCTATAGGAACAGTTTTAAAACACGTAGGATCGGATACACACAAGAAGGACAATCTATGGAAACATGCGTAAACACACAAAGGGTTCGTGCTCCAGCACAATCTATAGGAGCATACTTACCTATACGACCACCCTTCGGGTGATAAGGAGGTTGTGGGGGGGGGGGGGGAAGGAGGGAACCAACATCTGACTCAATCGATCTCACTAACGATCTCACTCAACGGGACACCACCAGACACCACGGGACACTTGTCGATCTCACTATCGATCTCATTCAACAGGACACCACGGGACACCACGGGACACCGCAGGACACCTCTCGATCTCAATGTCGGTCTCACTGTTGATCTCACTATCGATCTCACTCAGCGGGACACCATTATCATAGGACACCACGGGACACCTCGGGACACCACATCGATCTCACTATCGATCTCACTCAACGGGACACCACGGGGCACCACGGATCACCTGTCGATCTCACTATCGATCTCATTCAGCGGGACACCACGGGACACCTCGGGGCACCACATCGATCTCAGTTTCGATCTCACGATCGATCTCACTCAACGGGACACCATGGGACACCTGTCGATCTCAGTATCGATCTCACTATCGATCTCACTCAGCGGGACACCACGGGACACCTCGGGACACCACATCGATCTCAGTATCGATCTCAATATCGGTCTCATTGTCGATCTCATTCAACGGGAAGCTACGGGACACCACGGGACACCACGGGACACCAGCGGGACACCGCGCGGCACCAGCCGCCGGAGGAGAAACATTTTGTCCGGCCGCGGCCCAGCCGTAGGAGGATTTTTTCGGGACGCCCGCGGGACAGGCGGGACACCGCGCGGCACTGGCCGCCGGAGAGGTTACATTTGGACCGGCCGCGGCCCAGCCACAGGAGGATTTCCTCTCGCCCGCCCACGCAGCTTCGCCTCGCATGCACGCACGGCACGCACGATACGAGCCCGAAACCGAAATCGATTTCTCGGTAGGGGGGGTCTCCGCTTCACGTCGGACTCACCCCCCAAATCTCCGACAACACATGGCATTGGAGCCACTCCTATGACCTTCTGAGGCCTCCTGCTCCTGGGGCCTCTGGGGGGCCTCCTGGTGCCTTCTGGAGTCTTCGTGCCTCCTGGGGCCTCCTGTGGCCTCCTGGGACCTCCTGGGGCTTCCTGTGACCTCCTGGAGCATCCCGGAGCCTCCTAAGGCCTTCTGGAGCTTCCTGGGACATCCTGGAGCCTCTTGAGGCATCCTGTGGCCTCTTGAGTCTTCGTGTGGCCTCATGGGACCTCCCGTTGCCTCCTGGGGCCTCCTGGGGCCTGCTGGAGCCTCCTGTGGCATCCTGGAAAGGATCTGTGCCCACGAGTCTGGCCACCAAAACAGGCAAACCGATCGAGACATCCTCAAAATCTTGCCCCACTTGATATGGGAAAAATTAACGCCTCGCTCGAGACGTCCTCCAAATCTGCTCCGAAAGCGGAGGATGCTGAGCTAGTAAACAGGCAAACCGCTCGAGACATCCCCGCCATTTGGGCGCGAACGGAGGCCGTGAGATACCCTGGCGACCCCCCCTCAGAACAGGCAAACCGATCGAGACATCCTCAATATGTGGCCCCACTTGGAAGCGAAAATGAACGCCTCGCTCGAGACATCCTCCAAATCTGCTCCGAAAGCGGAGGATGTTGAGCTGGTAAAACAGGCAAACCGCTCGAGACATCCCCGCCATGTTGGCGCGAACGGAGGCCGTGAGATACCCCTGGCGGCCCCCCCGTAGGAGTGCGAAAACCAGCAAACAGCTTGAGACCAGCATATCAGAATGTAACATAACATACCGTACCAGACCATACCAGAACATAACATACCATTACATGCCATAACATAACATACATCATAGCAGAACATCGCATGCCATGACATATAATCACTTAACATGAGGAGGTATGGACCCGTCCGCCGTGAGTGTCTAGGTTCAAGAATTTTCGAATAAAAACGGGCTTGAGTTGCGACGGTCTGGTCATGAATCTCACTGCGAATGAATTGGAGTGTAAATGAGTCTCAGTAGTAAGAGCGCGTCTCTGCGCATGAGCTTGGGGTCTCCTGGGGCCTCCTGCAATCTCCTAGGGCTTCCTGGGATCTCCTGGAGCCTCTTGGGGCCTCCTGTGGCCTCTTGGGGCTTCCTGTGGCCTCATGATGCCTCCTGGAGCCTCGCGTGGCCTCCTGGGACCTCCTAGGGGAGATTCGTGCCCCAGGAGAGGCCCAATCTATAGGAACAGACGTACATAAAACATTGCGGATTGGAGCCACTGGAGAAGGGCAATATATAGGAACACACGTAAAACACCAAAGCCTCGTGCCCCAGGGGAGGCCCAATCTATAGGAACACACGCACAACATTTAGGATCTGGCACGCAGGAAAACGACAAAATATAGAAACATACGTATAACATAATGGATTCGTGCTCCAGGTGAGGCCCAAAGTATAGGAGCATACGTAAAACACATGGGATTGGAGCCACTCCTGTTGCCTTCCGGGGCCTCCTGGTGCCTCCTAGCGCTTCCTGTGGCCTCCTGGGGCCTCCTGTGGCCTCCTGGGGCCTCCTCGAGCTTCTTGGGGCCTCCTGGAGCTTCTTGGGACATCCTGTGGTCCCTTGAGTCTTCTTCTGGCCTCCTGGTGCCTCTTGGGACCTCCTGTAGCCTCCTGGGGCCTCCTGGAGCCTGCTGGAGCCTCTTGTGACGTCCTGAGGAGAATATGTGCCCACGAGTCTGGCCACCAAAACAGGCAAACCGATCTAGACATCCTCAAAATCTGGAACCCCTTGGTGGCGAAAATGAGCGGCTCGCTCGAGACATCCTCCAAAGCGGCTCCGAAAGCGGAAGATGTTGAGCTGTTAAACAGGCAAACCGTTCGAGGCATCCCCGCCATGTTGGCGCGAAGGGAGACCGTGAGATACCCCTGGCGGCTCACCCTTAGGAGTGTTGAAACCAGCAAAGCGCTTGAAACATTCTCAGAATTTGCTCCGCCATCCTCATCATCATCATCATCATCATCATCAGCAGCAGCAGCATCATCGTCACCATCATCATCACAGCATAACATAACAGAACATAAGTTAACATAACGTCACATAACATACCATAGCATACCATCATGGGGGATGAGGAGAAGGGAGGAGGAGGTGAAAGGAAGGTCCGCGCGTTCACAGTAATAAAATTAACCCCATCCTTTGGACATGTGGGATAACAAGAACCCTATCGTTTAGATACGGGGAAACATGGCAACAGTTTTGCAAATGGACGGCGGGTGGTTTTCAAAATGTGGCTCTCGCTTTAGCGCCGCGCACATTCGTTTTAAAAGCTTGCTAGAGCTTCACGGATTGACGGTGGTTCGTTTTCAAAATGTGATTCTCGACTTAGCGCCGCGCACATTCGTCGTCAAAGTTTGCAGGAGCTTCAAGGATTGAGGGTCGGTTCGTTTTTTATGTGACTCTCGCCTTAGAGCGCGCACGTTCGTCGTCAAAGTTTGCAAGAGCGTTTCGGATTGAGGGCGGCTCCCTTTCCAATGTGTGGTTCTCGCCTTAGCGCCGCGCACACTCGTCGTAAAAGTGTGCAGGAACTTCCAGGATTGAGGGCGCTTCTTTTCTTCAAAATGTGTCTTTCGCCTTAGCGCCTTGCACATTCGTCTTCAAAGTTCGCCCATGTTCAAAATGTGGCCCTCGCGTTAGAGCCGTGCACATTCGCCCCAAATGTTTGCCAGAGTCTCGCGAATGCTCATGGCTACTGTATGAGAATGGTGTACCTGGACCGGCTCATGATTGTCAGGGCGCAACAGTCACGCTGGTTCGCTGTGTTGAAGTCCCAAAAGTGGCACCCTGGCACAATTCAAGACCGCGACGACTTCACAATCAGGTTAAATCGTAGCGTTGAAGTCCTGAGAATGATGCTGGGGCGCGTTTCGGCATGTTCTACACGGCTGTTCCCCAACGAGGCAATTCATTCAGTGGATTTGAATTTTTGCAGGGGCCTATGAAGAGGGAGTTGGGAGTGAGGGTGTATACCAACATCGCTGATGAGTCTTAGGTTTACACTGGTCCTCCTCCTCCTCCTCCACCACCTCCTCCAGTTCCCTCTCCACCTTCTCCTCCTCCTCCTCCTCCTCCTCCTCCTTTTCGTCCTCCTCCTCCTTTTCGTCCTCCCCCTGTCCTCCTCGTCCCTCCCCTTTGTTCCTTAGACTCGCTCCGAGGGCGCAGGTGCTCGAGGCCCTCGGCCTCGTCGGGGATGCTATGCTTTGTGTTCGGGCCACCGGCGAGGCCGCGAGGCGCCCCCCGAGGATGCGGAGGAAGGGGGCCCCTCCGCCTCCGAGGGGGGTGCATGCCGTCTCGCTTCTCCCACTGACTTTGGGTCCTTCCACGGCAACCTTTCTGATCCTCTGGACGTGAAGGGTAGGGAAGGGGGGAGGAGGAGGATGAGGAGGAGGGAGAAGAGGACAGGTGCAGAGGGAGGAAGCGGAAGGGGAGGAGAAGGAGGATCAGCGCAAACCAAAAAAAGATCTAACGACTCTTCATCCAAGCTCCTGCTTGGTTGGCCCGTACAAGACTTGCAATCATTGCAGGAAGTGGCAAATCAAAAGACAGCCGCGTGAGAATCTTCAAACGTACCAAGAACACCATACCTGGGACTTCAAAGCCGTGGACCAACGTGGTTGTTGCGTCCTGGCAGTTCTGAAGCAAAGCATCCGAATCCTTGAAGAGAACGCAGATGTTGAAGACGACTGCGCGTGCCGCTGAGGCGAGAGGCATAGTTTGAAACGGAACCGCCCTCCACCCTTGGAAGTGAGATAAACGTTTAAGACGAATTCGCGCAGTGATCAGGCGGGAGCCGCATGTTCACAAGGGGCCGCCTTCCATCCGTGAAACTATTGCTGACGTTAAAACTAATGTGCGCGGCGCTGGGGCGAACGCCACATGATGAAAGGGAACCGCCCTCCACAGGCGAAACTCTTGCAAACTGTATGACGAATGTGCGCGGCGCCGAGACAAAGTCCACATGTTCGAAGACTACCCGCCGTCACCCGTGAAAGTGCTGCAAATGTTTAAGACGAACGCGGGCGGCGTCAAGGCGAGCATGTTTAACAACCCTTGCCCCCCATTCTAGCGAAATGGTTGCACGTTTCAAGCTTCAGGACCATAAAGAGCGAGGAGTTCTCGGGCGAAACGGCCGCCCCGCCCCGCCCAACCGACATGCCCCGAGGTGTGACAGGGAGGAATTAAGTATGAAAAGAAAAGATGGAGGAAGAGGAGGAGGAGGAGGAGGAGGGCATTGCGGGGGAGTAGGGGGAAGAGGGGGGACTACGAAAAGGGAGGACGGGGGGGAGAAGAGGAGGGGGGAGATGGGACGACTGATGTAAAGAAAGGAGCGAGGAGGAGCCGAAAGAGGAGGAGAGAGAAGAGAGGAGAGGGGCAAGCCAGGTGCGTTCGCGTCATATCTTGCGTCCTACAGTCCCCTTCCAATCCCTTACCATTACGTCAAGGTTTCTCTACCCGCAGACACGCGTCATAGCGGACGTGGAACTCCCAGAAAGATCTCATCGTGCTCTGCGTAGTCGGAGAATGGGAGCTGCGTACACAAGAGGAGGGGGGGTAGGAGGAGGAGGAGGAGGAAATAACGGATGAGCAGGAGAAAAAAGAGGACGCGGGACGCAACATGGAACGTGCAAGCAACTAGTCGCAAACACGGCGGGGCAAGAAACGTGGGTGCACCCAGAGCATGGAGATGCAATACTCCTACCAAAATAGTGTCGAGAAGCACGAGGACAAGGACGAACAGCAGCAGCAGCAGCAGCAGCAGCTGGAGCGGGAGGTGCAGGAGGACCAGGCGAAGGCGGAGGAGGGGAAATGAGGGGGGCGATAACGATGAAAAGTGACCCGGGTCCTGAGAAGTGGCCCGCGTTGGGGCGAGAGGGCAATTCTGATCGACGGAAGCAAAAGCGCCGATCCGAAAATGAGGCCCACGCTGCAGCGGGAGCACCATGTTGAAACTCTGAAGACTCACGTTTTGCACAAAACCGTGAGGCAAATCAATGTTTGGAATCCTGCGCGGCAGAAGCAATACGTAGATAGGGCTAGACATATTCCGGACAGAGTCAGTGGAGGGAGGAGAATGGTATTCACAACGTGTAGACATGGAGAGACATGCAAGGGACGTCCGCGCCACATCTGACATCCTACCCTCCGCTTCCATCCCTTCACATTGCCTTAAATTTGCTCCTGTCCGCCAACCTGGGTGCCCTACAGGACCTTGATCCCTAAGTGGCAGCTGCAAGGCCATCGGCTGCTGCGCAAGGAAGGGGGCTTTGCACACATCAGATCAGGAGGACTCGCATGGACAGGAGAAGGGTGAGCAGCAGCAGCAGCAACAGCAGGAGCAGCAGGAGTGGGAGGAGCAGGAGGACCAGGAGGACAGGGGGAAGGCGGAAGGAGGGGAAAGAAAAGGGACAACAATTACGAGGAATGAATTGGATTCAGAAATGTGGCCCGCTCTGTGGCGAGAGCGCCATTCTGAACAACGGGGGCCAGGCACCGATCCTGAATGTTGGCCAGCGCTGCAACTGGAGCACCATGATTGCAGGACCAACAAAACCGTTCCGATTGCAAACATATTGCAAGCACACGCAAATAAACAGACAAGCAAACAAACAAGCTCACGACTAAACAGGCAAACAGAGCATCGCATCATGAACCCCTGCGTGTGAAAAAAAGTACGGGGCTCAGGTGTTCGAACCATTCCTCAGAATTACGAGATGAAACTTGCTTGCTGACTAAGTCCGCCGCGGCCACCAAGAAAAAAACTTACGATGCGTTCCCCATCCTGGCAAGTTGATTGTACACGAAAGGGCGGCAGGAGCACCGCTGGACATCGTCAGGGGAAAAAGGGCAATATGCAGATTGAGTAAATGCAGAGACAAGGATGGACGAAGAGGGCGAGGAGGAGGAGGAGAAGGAAAACGACCAGAGAAACCCCAAGATGCACCAGCGACGCTGCAATTGACAATCCCGTGACGAGCCCCCTCCACAAGCCCCTACAAACGTTATTGCAAGTTATTGTTCACTTCAAGAAGCCCCCCACTGAAAGATCAGCACCTTGTGGGCCTGGCGTTCATGCGAGAGCACCGCTTTGAACAGGAACTGCCCTGAATCCGTCGAGTGCACAGTCAAGACGGCGAACAGGCATAATTCCGCAGTTCAGCCAGGTGTCCAGCGAGGTCCCCCTTTTGAGAAGGGCCGCCCCATCTCGTGCAACTGCTGCACAATCTTGCGCATGTGGTCATGAACGTCGAGGGAGTCCCGGGCGATAATCATTTTGTGGAAAGGAGCAGCCCTCCATCCGTGCAACTGCTGCATACGTTGAAGGGTCTGGTCTTTGACCTGAAGGGCATTATATGTGCGAGGCCTGCTTTGTAACAGATCCGCCCTCCATCCATACTGCTGCTGTGACAAAGCGTAAGGCGAACGTGCGCGGCGTTGGGGAGAGAGTTCCACTTTCAAGAGGAACAGCCTTGCATCCTTTTATAATGGTGGCAAGTTTGTAAAACGAATGCGCGCGGCGCTAATGCGAGAGCCCGATTTTGAAAACGTCCCACCGCTCAATCCTGGTAACTAATGCGCGCGGCACTACGACGAGAGCCCCATTTTGAAACGGAACCGCCCTAGACGAATGCCCGCAGCACTGAGGCGAGAGCCCGAGTTTGAAAACGGCCCGCCTCAATCAGGGAATTGGTGGGAATGTCCAGCTTCCGGATCATAAGCGGTAGGACGTCTCATGCGAAACGGTTGGCCCGCCCAACTGATACGTTTGGGGTGCAACAGGGGGGCGATCGATAAGGAAAGAGACGAAGTAGAAGGAGAAGGATGAACAGCAAAATTGGTTTTGTCTTTGTGGACCTCAGGGGGGGCCCTGGCTGCCACGGCTGGATTCATCTCGAAGTCCTGGGGTCGATCTTGATCCTGACTTCTGGGCATCTTGACGAGATCGGGGCGGCGGGCCTTGCTGTAAGGGGGGCCTGCCAAGGCCCGTTCTGGACGCGGGGGCCCTCAAAAGCAGCCCTCGATACGAGATCCATGGTTACGATTTTTGTTGGTCGAGAGCTCCAGCCCCCCCGTCGCCCAGCCGCCGCTCCCGGCGCAGGGTGGAGTCCTTACCGAAGAGGCCTTGGCGCCGGCCTCGTCCCACCTCCCCTCCCTCTCCTCGCCGGAGTCGGAACCAAGTTGGTTAGGTTGATTTGGTGTTTGAAATAGTTTCGGGGGACGTCCCAGTGTTTTTGACTCCGGCCAGGAGTGGCCTTAGGAGATTTCTGGCCACTTTTCAGCGGCCTTCCACCGAGGGCGCCCAGGCAATCCTGTCGCCATCAACCACAACATGGTCAAGAGCTCTGGAGCCCTACGGACTGAAAAGAGCATGGCGTCGGAAGTCGAGGAGGGGCCAGGCGGGCCCAGGAGACCACATGGAACCTCCTGGGGCACAAGAGCAGTCAAGAACAACTGGATTTAAGTCGGGCCTGTCCCTCTACAGGAGGAATTTTCAAAAATAGTCAAAAGATAGTCTAGGGACTATTTTTTGCATATGTTCCGGGCATTCTTGAGCATGTTTCGAATATGTTTTATTTCTCGTCGAAAATCCCCCTGTAGGGGGACAGGCCCGACTTAAAACTGGATGGAGCCCCAAGGACGAGGGAACCACCAGAGCGGCCAGCCAACCTGGCGATGTTGCTCACGTCTGGGCCTCTGCGGGGGCCTGCTCGGCTGGTTCCTGGGCGCCCCAGCCTTCAGTGTGGCCAGCCGGCCACTGGCTCAGGGTCGGTGATCCTCAGGACGCGTGTTGGCCCAAGTGGTGTATGCCCACCTGGCTCCACCGAGAAGGTCGTTGCACCGCCTGCATCGTGCGGAGGTGTCGACGGACAGGCACACGTTGGCGCCAACACGGCGTGAGGATCATCGGCGTGTGGTCCAGGGGGGGTCCGCCGCGGAGCGCGCCGTGGCGGAGGTGCAGCAGATGGCGCAGATGCTCCTGGTGGATGAGGCGGGTGTCTGGGGCAACGATACGGGACAAAAGGCTCAGGGGGGAATGCATCGACCCACGATCGCCCACTGATCGCCTGTAGGGGTGTGATGGCCCCACCCCGCCGAGGAGCTTGGGGATTCGCTATCGGGGGCCTATCGTGTCGATCTATCGGCGGTGCATCGCCGATCCCAGGCCGATGGTCCTTCCCCCCCCCTGTGCCAGTCCCCCCCTATCGTTGCCACTCAGAGGAGGCGGGCGCCGGCCTGGCCTGGCTCGACCCGCAGAAGCGCGCCGAGTTCGCGCAGCTGTCGGCCAGGCTGGCTCGCGCGCCCGGGCCAGGTGCCGCGCAGCCGGAGCCGCGGCACGCGGAGCTGCGGCGCGCGAGGCAGGTCTACGGGTGCGCCCTGGAGCAGCTGCGGCAGCGGCGCGGCACAGGCGGCACGTGGCAGGTTCGGGTGCTCACGACTTTGCGGCAGGCCTTGGCGGCGATCGACAGGCTGCTGCCAGCGCAGCAGCAACCACCGCCGCCACAGCGGAGTGCTTTGCCGCATGGGCCGCAGGAGACCGTCCTTGCACGGAAAAATCTCGGCCACGGCTTGTTCCAGCTTCCTCTGGCCAGCCTCGATGAAGGGCAGCAGCAGCGGCAAAACTTGCTGCTCAAGGAGCACGAGCTTCACGCCGTCTGGGTCGGCAATTTACCCGCCTGCAATTCGCAGCAGAACCTCCAGAGCCTCCAGAATGTCGTGTGCCATCTCTTCAACGAGGCGGGCACCATACAATACATTGACATGCCGGTTGGCGGCCATGTGTGCGTCCTAGGCTTCGAGACTGCGCAAGAAGCTCAGAAGGCCGTCGTGACTTTCAACGAGCACCGCTTCATGTTCGATTTACCACCTTGGCAGGCTTTGACGGTGTTGCTGAAAAAGGGCGCCACTCTGATCCGTGTTGAGAAGGCCGCGATCACGTCATCGCTGCCAGGCTGCAGCAGCCTCACCGCCAGCAGCACAGGGGCCTCGCAGCCCGCTGCAACAGGAGGCGGAACAGTGGCCGCGCCTGTGCAGGAGCAGCCGCAGAGGATCGTTAACGCGGCCAGCCCCCGTCGCCACGCCGCCGAGGGCCTGGCCGCGGAGCCGATGGCCGCCGGCACCAGCGAGCCGCCGTCCTGGGGGCCCCGCCAGCTGCCGAGGCCGCTGCCGAAAAAGCTCCCTTGCGCCGCCAGGTCGTCCACGCCTCTGCGCGAGCGCGCGCCCCTCCCGGAGCCAGCCGCGCCCGCCGTCGCAGGCGCCCGGTGCCCAGTGACGCCCACGCGCCAGCGCGCGCCGCTGCCGCAGCCGACTTCTGCCGCTGGAGGCGCCGCTGCGGGGCCCAGCCGCGGAGGCGACCCCGAGGCCAAGGCTCAGCCGGCGCCCTCGTCTGCGCTCGCGACGCCGTCCGCGCCGACGCCCTCGTCTGCGCCGGCGCTCTCGTGCGCGTCGGCCGCTGCTGGGCCCGCTCCCCGAGGCGCCCTGCCCGCGGCCTCGGCTGCGCTTGCGCTGCCATCGGCGCCAGCACCCTCGTCGGCGCCGCGCCGGCACAGTGGCAGCGCAGGCGGCGCTGTCGTTGGCGCGGCGAAGCCTCACAAGCGCAGCCCTGCGGCAGCCGCAGCGGGGCCAGCCCCGCCAGACGAGCTGCGCCGATGGCTCGATGGCCTGGACAAGGGCAAAGGAGCGCTGCTGGCCTACGCCGAGGCCCTTGAGAGGGAGTTCGAGGGCAGCCTGGTGCAGATCCAGGCTTGCCTCCTCGAGGGCGCGACGGCGACCTCCAGCGCCCTCAGCTGCGTCGACGGGGCATTTTTCGAGGCGATCGGCTGCAGGATGTTCGGGCACAGGCTCCTGCTGGCGAGCGGCATCAAGAAGCTTGCTGGCCTCGTGCAGTGAATAGTCTGTGTTGGTCGGGAGGGATCAGGGACAACGAGAGGTGCTCCGCCTTGGGCCCGCCCGTGGGCGCCTCGTGAGAAATGGGGAAGGAAACTAGGAGGACGAAAGGAGGAGGAGGAGGAGGAGGAGGAGGAGGAGGAGGAGGAGGAGGAGGAGGAGGAGGAGGAGGGAGGAGGAGGAGGAGGGGGAGGAGGAGGAGGAGGAGGAGGAGAGGGACTGGCCCCCGGGGGAAACATCGACCCCCAGGCGCCCATTCGTCTCCAATCGGGGCCTGGGTGCCCCACTCCGCCCAGGAGCGCTAGGTGTCGCTAACGGGGGCCTACCGCCGCGATCTGTCCGAGACTGCATCACCGACCCACTGGCAATGCCCCCCCCCCCCCCTAGTGAGCTGGTCTCCCCCTTCTCGTCCCCCCTCAGAGGAGAAGGTCGGGGGAAGGCGCGCAGGGGGGAGGGAACGGAATTGCGCTGCTTTCTCAGCGCTGCCCCGACGCTCGCTCTCGGCGCGGAAGTGCCGCGCGCACGCGCGCCCTGCGAACGACCGTGCGGCATACTCTGCGAGGCTAGCGGCTGCAGGCGGCCCTCGCGCCGCGCGCCGTGAGCGCGGGCGACAAAGGCATCGAGTCGAAGGGCCGATCGCGCGAACTCCTCTGGGACCCGGTCGACCTTCGCTGGGGGGGAGCTCCTCGCATCCCTCTGCCCATCATGCCCACATCCACCCTTCCCTCCTCGTCATCCTCAGCATCATCAGCCTCGTCATCGTCCTTGCCCTGGTCTCCCTCCTCCTACCCCTTCCTCGCCATTATCATCGTCGTCATCATTGTCGTCGTCATCGTCACCCGCAGCTGCATTCATCAGTCAGCACCATTATCAACCATAACCGCAAGCAGGACCATTAATTACCAGAACGGTCATCGTCATCAGCAGCAGCATCCTCATCGTCAGCAGCAGCAGCATCACCCATCGTCATCACAATCACCCTCGTCACCACCACAGTATTCATGTTGGTCATCATCGTCATCTTCCTGGCGCTGTTCCGCATTCTCTCATCTTCGTCCGTCGGCACGCTCCCCGCCCGCGAAGAGGAGGAGAAGACGAAGGAAGGGAGATGGCGACGAGAGGAGGAATGAGAAGATGAAGAATGAAGGAAGAAGAAGATGAAGGAAGGAGGAGGAGAAGAAGATGAAGAATGCAGGAAGAAGAAGATGAAGGACGAGAGGAAGGGGGGGTGACCAGCACGCAGATTGAGTGATGAGTTCGACTGCCTCTGCCCGCCTAGCTGGGCGGGGCCTCCCTGAGCTCTCTGCAGGACTTGGACCAGGGGCAGTGGAGGTCGCAAAACTACCAGCGAACCTGCAGTTCCTCTCGGGTGCCTACCCTCCAGAGCACGCTACAACTGAAGGGCCCTGCCGTTGTCAGGGCACACCCTCGGGCAGCCCGTGCGAAAGATTCGGGAATCAGATTCGCCGAACGACGCACAAATCCCAGGAGTCCCCACATGTTCCCATATGTTCTGGCTTTTCGTCTTCCCCCTCATATCCCATGTTTCCCATGTTAGTTTCCTGGGGATTGACGATGAGCCGCACTTGCGGCCGAGCCAAATGCTCCTGGGCACATTCGCGGCAAGATGGCCGAGGCAGTAGATGCCATGGTCCCGGGGGCTGGGGGCAAGCGCAGAGCGGTGCTCACAACCCTCTGCACCCCGAGGTAACAAGCACTTGCTCATTGCCACATCTGATTCTTCCACCACCACTGAGCCGTGCATCCGTGTGGACGCGTAGGCAAGTCACGCCGAACGCGCGCTTGTGCCAGGAGACCAGACACGCGTACGCCAAACGCGTCCGCGACAGTCTGCCAAGCGCAAAGCCACAACAATGACGACGACGAAGATAGATGATGATAAAATGAAACCTACCTGCGTTGAGACATTTCGAACACTGCAGTTCCCCAGCGTTGCCTTGGCCTCCCTCTTTTTCTGCGCACAGCCCATTGCTTCGGAGCACCATCGTTCTTGCAAAGTATAGTTTCGACCATGTTTGAATCACTTCCGTTTGCAATTTTCCGATATAATGCCACTTGCTTGTCCAATAGGATCTCAGATAGAGGCGTCGCCCCAGTCTTTTCCAGAACAATGGCGTTGCTGACCCTTGAAAGGAAGGACGGCGGAATACCAATACACGTCTGACACATCTACAATGAAACGCGTCCAAACGCGCCCTGTCCGCTGCGAGCAGCCAAACAGTGTCCAGGGAGTGCAGGAGCTTGCTCAGAACACAGCTTCGGTATATGTCATAGTTTCTCTTGCGGCCCACTGCAGCATGAGACCAAACTTTCCTTAGATCTTGGAAAATCTTGCTTGCTTCCCCGAGTCGCCGCGAAACTTCCGACGTTGCTTTGCCATCACACGTGATAAGACCTCCAAGGTAAACGGCTTCCCGGGCAGCTTTCATGATTTCACCTCTGGGTCCGGAAATGGACTCCCGAGTGGAGATTTGTATTTGTACAGTTTTCCCCCAGTTCAATTCTAACCCATATTTCTCGCCTTCTTCCAGACTGGCTGCTAGCATTTTTTCCATGTTACTTTTGTGATGCGATATCAGCAGTGTGTCGTCTGCCTACAAGATATCTCGAGTGACTACATAATCCGGCTCCGGCTCCAATTGTAAGTTAGCGAAGGCGTCGTGGAGCATGATTGTTTGCATAATAACGGACAATTATGGTGATAGCCGGCACCCCTGGGCTATTCCAGCTTGTTGCCGCCGTTCCGAGGAGCATCCTGTGTGGTCCATGATGGTGAAAAATATTGCGCTGTAAATCGACCGTACCATTTGCACCATTTCCACAGGCAGCCCAAATCGTTGTAAGGATTCACACATACAATCGGGCTTCACTCTGTCGAAAGCTTTGGCCCAATCCAACATCAACAAGAGGACCCCGCCATCGACTGCCCAACCTGCACCACTGGTGGACCCTCCTGGGCTCCTGGCTCCTGGGCCTCGGGAGCACGGGGGCCCCGGATGTCGACTAGGACTTCCCAGTCCCCGGGAGGGCCCCGCCGCCGCCGCCCCTTGCGGGCGGGGCTGAGAGACCCGATGGGCTGATCCGGTCCTGTGGGCCCCGCCTTGGGGGCCGCAGGGGGCCAAAGCTGTGGGGCATCCAGAATCCACCGATAGTTGCCGAGCAGCTTGTGGTCTCGCACGGCGGATTCGGTCTCGAGCTGGCTCGGGGGGACCCGTGATAGCTGCCAACTTGGCCATGCGGTCAGCAGCGTCGTTTCCTTTTGGCGTCTCGCCACTGGTCCGAACCAGGAAGGCAATTCCTGAACGTTCACATGCGCCTTAGTTTTGCAGAACCTGGGGCCAAGGCAAGCCAGCGCGGCCCGTCCGAGCATTTTGAAGGCGGCATGAAGATCCGAGCGGGAAACAAGTGACTTCTTGAGCACCTCGATGGCGCCTTGACAAACTACAAAAACTCGGCCTGTAGATTTCGCATTGAGAACTGCAACCGTCACGCGACCGTGCTCAGCAGCTGGGGAGGTTTGTGGCAAAAGGTTGTCAACCCTCCCTGTCATACATGCATGCAGGTCTCCGTATGCCCCGACATGTCGGGACCCCGACATGGTGTGGCGACATGTAGGGGTCCCGACAGCAGGACTCCGCATTTTCGTAGCCGAATCCAGCAGGAAGCCTCGTGCCAAAATCCGACAGAAACTGGAAGCCTGAGGCCAGGACCTGGTAGGTCAGGTTCGCGATTCTCTCGAGCTCATCCCCTGGGGAGGCTTCTCGGACCTCTGCGGCCTTGGCACATTCTAAACAACCGTGCTTGATATTGTCGTGCCTGTGACCACGTTCACACTCTGGGTTCGCTAGGTTGCCTGCAGAAATAAGCCTGGCGTGGGTCCAGATACCATGTGAGAAAAAATGGCGTAAACCTGGCCTTTGCGTCCCGCATTTGTCCTCCTGCCAACTTACGGGCTGCACTGACATTGTAAACCTCCTGGGGGTAGCCTAACTTGATGGCAGCTCGTTTTACATTCAGCCTGTCCCAGGCTGTCTGCATCGTGAGGACAATGAATTTGGGGGTGCAAGTCGCGGGCGGATACTCTAATCCGCTCTCGTCTCGCATTGTCCGAGCCGACACTAATTCCCATCCGATCCTCTCGAGGGACAGGTAGGCAGCCCCAAAGGGGCCTCTCTCAGTGCACCGACTCCGGCTCCAACTCCGGGTCCCAATTTTCCGACTCCTGGTCCTATCCCATCTCTCCGACTCCGGCCCCGATTCCTATTTCCATCTTCCCGACGATGGTCCCGATTCTGGTCAAATGTATTCGACAGTGGCAGTACGTGTGATTATTCTTTTCTGACTGCGGCTCCGTCACCCACTCCCATTTTTCCGACCCGGCTGCCATTTCCCAACCCCGGCTTCTGAGCGGCGCCCCGGCGCCCTCCCGCCGCACCCTCGTAGGTGCATCGGCGCGGGCTCTTCTCTTCAGTGCACCACTTTGGGGAGGGCCAGTTAGAGTGGCTCTGCTAGGCTTCTCAATTCTCGAAGCTCACGGGGATCCGATGCCTGGGTCGTCGCTCCCTAGATCACGGTAGCCCATGCCCGCGCAGGCCCCGCTCGTGCTCGCCGATGCAACCGCCTGCAGCTGACTGGGCATGCCTCCTGCGAGCTCGATCAACTCGAGGACGCGGCAGGCAATCCTCGCCTGCCCTGCCGAAAGGAATTGCAAGTGCTCGGGGTGAAGCCCCGACCACGTGGAGGACGGCATGCGAGAGAGTCCCAGCAGCATCTATAGTACTCTCGGGCTCCAGTCCTGGTAGCCGTGGCCCAGGAGGTCTCGCATGCCATACTTCGGCCTGAGGTTGCTGAGCCTGCCAGCCTCGCGCTCCGAGATCCTGGTGGGGCGCCCAGTCATGGAGCCTTTTTTATGAAGTACTTGCGATGGCTGCCAGGCGTCCAGGGAACTGGTCCAGCGGCGCGCCCATCCAGCGTTGCCTTGAGTGCATATCTGGACCCATCCCCGCCAGGCCCGAAACGCTTCCTGCCTCTCTCAAGTGACCTCCCTATAATATATATATATATATATATATATATACATACATACATACATATATATATATACATATATATATATATATATATCAGCTCCGTGGTTTTGCTCAAACCTTCCCTAGCATGTTGAAGCCGATCGCCTCCTCCAGTAGCCCAGCCATACGATGTTGAATGTCTGCGCCGTGCTGTCGGGGCTGGCGCGGAGGGCCTCGGACTCCTGAAATTGTGTCGTGGGGTCCTCAGGGCTCTCTACGGCATTCTACAACGCGGCGATACCCATCTTCTGGACGTGGAAGAAGATCCGCTGCGCAACATTCCTCAGGCACCTCATTGGGCCTGCGTGTAATTTCCAGGCAACTCTAGTATGCTTGAGCACATGGGATGTTGGGATGGTTGTATCGATTTAACCCGTGGAGGACAGGCCTGAGGCCACGAACTTGGTTTCAAAATCGTATCCGTCAAATCGGCAATCGCGTTTGCCAAATCCCTGGCCAGAAGATGCTAAAGCTGGTCCGCAATCCGTTGAGGCTGCTGCGGCTCGAGATGCTGGGCGCCATTGGCAAGCAACTACGCGGCCGCGTCCGGCGCGGCCTCCGCGGCGAGCCGCTTTCGCTCTGGCCGCCTGGAGCCAGATGCTAGTTTGGTCGGCGGCCCCTGCGGCTTGCACCAAACGAGCATAGTGAAGGCTGGTCGATGCGGAGAGAGAGGGCACCGATGGTGAATCCAAGGATCTCCAAGACTTATCCCAGACTGCTGCTTCCCGCAAAATAGTCCAAGGTACTCTAAGCATTCTTGGCCCTGAAGGTGGGGATCCCTCGGGCATAAAGACACAGACTGGCTCGCTGGACAGAATCATGGTACCTGAGCTTGTTAGAGAAGTTGCAAAGTCCCTTGTGAGGGGGATGGGGACCTGCGCAGCCTCCTGGACAATAGCAGCTGCAGCAAGCAACCCTAGATTAGTTTCGTTCAGGCCATCGCTGACATGCATATGAACCGACAGACTACAAACTTCTCCAAACCCAGGCAGTTCAACAATGACCCCAGCCGTCCTTCCCTGGGGTATCAACCTGTCAGCTTTCTTGGGGAAAACAAATCGGGCGCGTTCCCAAATCAAAACCATCCCTGATCAAAACACAAACCCCATTGATGTAGTCTGAGTCGAATTGAATGTGCCTGCTTGAAATACTGGTTTCTGACCTCTACGCTCGCACCACTGGATTGCCTTCACTATGCCAGAACCGGGTCTTCCATCAGCTGCTTGACGGAGTTCCAGCAGTTGCCATTGACCGTGATGGTGCGGATGGTGTCCTGCCCACCCTGCGCGCCCGCCTCACTGACCTGCACCCTGGTGCGGAGGATCGCGCCATGAACTCACTGGAGCCTCTTGGCCACGTCATCTGCTCCAAGACCTGCCGCAAGTAACTGTCGTGATGCGCGCCTCCGCAGCCCTCTTCTCGCTGGCAGCATGAGCTCGTCCTCGTCTTCGCTATCACCTCCTGCTGGAAGGCTGAGCCCTCCACCTCTGCCGGCAGCAGCCTCTGGTGGAACTTGCGCTGCTCACGTTGCCCCTTGACCAATTGTTGGTGCTGCTCCTGCAGGGCGTGGATCAGGTGCCACGGGTGCGGCTGGTTCCTGAGCTTCGAGCGTCGGTGGTTTCGGCTTCTGACTGGTATGAACTGTATCGGGTAGTGATTTCACTCTCCGCGAGCTTGACGCCGAGCTCTGGTGGTAAAGCCCGCTGTGGTGTCTGAATCCTGGACGATATGAGCGCTGTGAACGCTTCCGCCAGTGCCCCCTTGTTTGTGATTGCTGTCGCCGCCGCATGCGTGACCTCATGCAGGTGCGCACCTAACCTCTGAACATCCTCCATGAACCCGCGATGCTCACTGATTGCCTTGACCTGCTTGGCTGCAAGCTGCTCGAACTGCTGGCTGTCGCTGTCGATCTGGGTCTTTGGGGTCGCCATCTTCCTCTTCTGCCGAGCGAGCTGGTCCTTGATCGATTGGGCCTGCTGATTTGGGGATCTGTCCGCAAACGCGATGTGCTTGGCCAATTTGAGGGCTTCAATCGCATCCGTGCACTGCTTTTCCTGGTCGCCCATCCGCTGCTTCCAGAACGCGGCTTGTGCCCGAGCCCGCTCGATTGGTGACGGCTGCTGTTCTGCATCTGGTGGTTGGGCCGGACCTGCTGCATCACCTGCTGCCTTGCCATTGGGAGCTCTCGAACTGGCGCATCGCCAGCGCCCTCGTCCGTGTTCTTCATAAGATTGCACATGCTCTGCACCCCAGGATACTGCACGGTCATTGCGTCCACCTCGTCCTCCTCCTTTGACGGCTGGGGGAGTGCCGGGGGCCTTGGTTTTGTTGTCCGCCAGATTCGTGCCGCACGTTGTGCAGTGGCTGGCTCCACGATCTGCCCAAGCCCAGCCGCCGCGGCCAGACTTGAGGCACACTGCGCACGTCCGTGCCACCATCAAGCCGCAGCTGTCGTGAACACTGTCTGGACAGGGTGCGAGGTAGCCCCTTGGGCGCGGGATGCCTGTGGGCTTCCACAGCGTGGCCTCGGCCGTGATGCTGGCCGAGGTGGTGGGCCTGTGGAAGGGGCTGGCCTTCCGCCTCGGCCTCGGACCTCTGGAGCCGGGGCCGGGGATAAGCTCCGTCTTGAGCCAAAACGGCTACGGAAGAGGGGTAGGGGAGGAGGGGGAGGAGGAGGGGTAGGGGAGGAGGGGGAGGAGGAGGAGGAGGAGGTGGAGGAGGGGGGGGGGGAGGAGGAGGAGGAGGAGGAGGAGGAGGAGGAGGAGGAGGAGGAGGAGGAGGAGGAGGAGGAAAAAGGAAAAAGAGGGGGCGGGGGACGGAGAGAAGGAGGAAGAGAAGGAAGGGGAGACGGGGTAACGGGAGGGGGAGATGGAGGAGGACGAGGAGGAGGAGGAGGAGGAGGAGGAGGAGGAGGAGGACGCGGAGGAGGAGGAGGAGGAGGAGGAGGAGCAGGAGCAGGAGCAGGAGCAGAGTGATGGGAGAGCGAGAAGGCGAGGGAGCAGGAGGAGGTGGAGCTGAGAACGCGGCGGCGGTGGGGACCGAGGCTCGAGCACGAAGAGTTCCACGACGTCTCTTCAGGAGGGGGAAAAAACACACGGACACCATGAATCGTCGATTCCCCAGAAGACATGGGAAACTGTGGGAAGTGGGGGGGGGGGAGACAAAAACCCAGGAAAAATAGGGGGAAACATGGGGCATGCTGTTATATCTGTGTGTACTTATCTGTGCGCCCCCAGGGCCCCTTCAGCTCTGGCGCTCCTGTGGACCCTCGGGGGCCGTCGCCTGGCATGGCCGGGGGCCTCCGAGACTCCTGGAGGCCCTGGAGCGCGGACGCCCTGCCCCGCCATGCCTCTCCTCCCCCTCCTCCCCCTGCTCCCCCTCCTCCCCCTCCCCCCCCCTCCTCCCCCTCCCCCCCTCCTCCTCCTCCTCCTCTCCCTCCTCCTCCTCCTCCTCCTCCTCCTCCTCCTCCTCCTCCTCTCCTCCCCCCTCCTCCTCCTCCTCCTCCTCTCCTCCTCCCTCCTCCTCCTCCTCCCCCTCCTCCCCGCCCCCCTGCACCGCCCTGCCTCTCTGGAGCCCCCGCCCTGCGCCTGCGCGCCCCGCCCGCGCGCCCGCCAGCCCTTCGACGGCAGCCAGCTGCCGGCGTCTCAGGATTTCCCCCCCCCTCGGGGCTCGTTTCGATTCCTTCGATTCGATCCGATTCGATCGAGATGGATTCCGGCTCCGGTTCGATTCGACGTTGGGTTCCGATTTGGGTTCGACTTCTCAGTGAGGCATCACTGCTCTGCCGATTTCCGCCGACTCGACTCCTCCCGACTTGGCTGCCGATCTCCGCCGATCCGATTAAATTTCGATCGCCGCTTCGACTTCTCGGTTCGATGCTGGGCTCTCTCCTGCCCCCTCCGCCCGCGAGCGGCGGGATCCGGCGTCACCCTTCGCGGCACCATCTTCCCGTGCAGCCAGCGGCTCGTTTCTCACCAGCACAGTCAAGACGCTGAAATAAGGAACAGTTTGGGTTCGGAAGGGGCTCGATGTTCCTTAGGTTCCTCCAGTGCTGTCCCTCTCGCCCTCCTGGGGCACGGAGGCGCTTTTAGGGCCAAAAAGGGGCTTCGTTCCTTATTTAGCGTTCCTTCTTTCAGCGGCCCGACTGTACACGCCTCTGCAAGCCGGCTTCGGGCCCCCAGGCTGCCCCAGAAGTTGCTCCGGACGAAAAAGGTGGCCCGAGGAGGAGGGGTCGAGAGCTCCAGGGAGGTTCACGTCTCGACAGAGATTATGCGGCGCGGAGATCCCCAGATGTACATCAACGTTCTAGTGCGTCCTTTTCCGAGCGAATCGGTATAAGTGAGTCTGACTGTGAGCGAGTCTGGGTACGAGTGGTTGCTTGTGGCTGATCCTCCGTATGAGTGCCTGGACGTGAACAGGCCAGGATGAGATGTGCTCGAGCATGTGCGGCTGCGCGTCTGGGCGGGCTTGCACGTGAATGGATCGGAGTATCAGTCGTTGGGAGATCCTGCAACCTGAGCGCATGCGAGGCCCGCCGTCGCTTCCACAGCCACGAGCTTGCTGTAGCTGTGGGCCAGAGCGTCACCACTCCGCGGGACCCCTCGGGAGCACGAAGAGGGGGCCGCGACTGCACCTGGCAGAGCCCGGGGAGGGCGAGACCGAGCCCCATCTGCACGTGCCACCACTCCTCGGGGCGCCCCCTGGGGCGCCGGGAGACTGGCAAGAGCCCTGCGGCCGGTGGCACTCCTGGCGCGCGCGCTTCCCTGCTTAGCTGGACCCCCCAGAGGCACCGTAAAGTGGCGACGGTGGCACCCAGGGGGGAGCGGGAGAAGGGAGGAAGCGAGAGAGAGAGTAGAAGAATCGATCAGGGCAGCAGTAGCAGCAGAAGCCAGAGGAGCAGGAGCTGCAGGGGAAGGCGGGGGAGGAGACGAGGAGGAAGGCAACGACGAGAAGCTCGAAGCGGATCCGGAAGTGCGGCCCGCGCTGGGACCAGAGCGCAAACGGGAGCGACGGGGGCAAAGCGCTGATCACTGGAGTGCGGCCGACGCTGCAGCGGGAGCACGGTTTTGGAACCGAAGACGGTCGTGTGGTTGCAAAAGCAACCAGTGGCGAGAAACGTGCCGCATCCTGTGCGCGCGTGCACAGTCAGATGCTGGAGCGTGACGCCCCCACACACAACACAGCATCAGGGAGCAGGGTATTAAAGGGCAGCGCGCATGCTGCTTGACTGTGGGGGGAGGAGGCGGGCGTGGAGAGCAGAGGAGAGGGGAGCGGCACATGGAAAGGAGATGCCTGACCACGAGGAGGGCTGGGAGAAGGTCAGGCACGGCACAGAGCGCTCCTCCGCCCCACCCGGACCTCAGACGCCGCACAGATTTCGTCCTGACGTGGACACCCCACGGCCGCCGGACCCCATCCTCGGGACCCGTGCGTCGCCGCGGACGGTCTCCTGCGCCCGAAGGCGGCCCTCCGGAGCTCGGCGTGACGGGACTCGAGGAGCGAAGACTAGCATGAGAGTATGACCTTTTCGGAGGCCCGCGCTGATTGCTTAGATCGGCGATGGGCCCCATTCCCTGGCGCGCGGAGCGAGCCAGCGGCGGTGCCAGAGGCGCCGCCATGGGCTTCCAGCGCTCCGAGAATCCGCGCGGGCCTCCGAAAGTTCATCTTTATGCCATTGCTGGAGCGGCCGTGACGGCCGGGTCCGCCGACCCTGAATGGGGGATCAGGAGGGAGGGGCCCCAGGAAGGCCGTGGATTATTTGAGGTTTGTTGGGGTCTCTTGGGAGGCCTCTCGGGGGCTTCTCGGAAACATAGCTTAAGACTCTTGGGGTCTCCTGGGGGGATGATTGCGGTCCCAGAGGGTGTGAATGAATCTAGTGACCCTGGGCCCAGCTTGTCACCATGCCTGCCTGGGTTGTATATCAGAAGCCTCTTGGATGTATCTCTGGATCTCCTGGGTGGCCTCTCGGGGAGGCAGATTTGAAGCCTCTGAGGGGCCTCTTGAGGTTTCTTTTGGGCCTCTTGGGGGTCTCTTGGGCCCTCCTGGGTGCCTCTTGGACGCCTGCTGGCGGTCTCGGGGGTCGTCTAGGGACGGATGGCTCTAAATTCGGGTTCCCCTTCTTGAGCCCCCCTTGGGGACGTCTTGGGGCTCTCTTGGGCCGTCTTGGGAGCCTGCAGTCTTGCGGCTCTCTTGGGCGATTTTGGAGCCCTCGTGGGGGCCTCTTGGCGCGTCGGAAGCCCCAAAAAAGCGAAAATGCTTAGATCCTGCTGAAACCTAGCTGGAACAGGGATGTTTGCCTCTTGGGGCTCTCTTGCGGGCGCTCTTGGGGCCCTCTTGCGGCGTCTCTTTTTGTTGGTGGGCCGTCTTGGAGTGCTCTTTGGCAATTTGAGACCCCCCTGAATGGGCGAAATAAGTCCGAACCTGCCCGAAGGCGACCCGAAGAGGAAAGGAGGTGGCATTCTGACCCTTCACCCCCGCCCGCGACGAGCCCCCCCGGGACCCCTCCTCCCCCCGGGGTCAAAGGGAAGGGACGTCTTTTCGACTCGAGTGCGACCTCGATTGCGACCTGGCTCGAGTCGACGAGAGAACCAGAGAGGGTCCCCAGGCGGATGTCCGAGAATGGGAGCGCGCATCCAAGGAAAGCGAGAGATCGTGTCACAGGACCACTCCGGGACGCTTGTCACGGAACTTCCTTTCACACACGCCGACAAGATCGACGGACCTTCAGATCTGACGTTGCCAACAAAGTACGACATCGCAAAAATCACCGCCGGAGCCGCGGAGCCCCATGTCCCCGCGTTTTTGTTTCCGAGCTGGACGGGTCTGTGAGGGTCCCGGGGCCCAGAACTGGGCAAAAACGCTGGCTGTGAATGAACTGTGCCGCGAGGATATCCGGGGATCTGAGTGACCTTTCGCCGGAGTGACCTTTCGCCGGAGTGACCTTTGGTGCGGGCACAGATGGGCCCCCAGATGGCTGAACGCGAAGCGGTGACAGCGGTTAGCGCGCCTGAATTTGGCCTCCCCGTGGCCCCCCAAAGCCACGCACCAAAGGTCGCTCTTACCCAGGGTCACTCCTACGTGTAGCCGATCACTGTACCGCGAGGATCTCAGGGGATGTTGCTGCCCGAGAGGCACGGCGCCCGCGTCGACCTCCCCTCTGCGACCGCTCAGCGGTCCGGGCCCCGCATCGGGCACAGCACGGCCCGCGCGCTGCGCGCGCGTGCGCGCGCACCGCCCGTGCTCGGCTGGGGCGCGTGCGCGCACGCCGCCCGTGCTCGGCTTGGGCGCTCGCGCGCGCACGCCGCCCGCGGTTTGCACGCGCGCGCTCCTCCTGTGGCCAGGGCGGCGTCGCGAGTCGGGCGTTGCGTCGTGGGGGGGGGCGATCAATTAGATAGGGGGGCGAATGAAGGCGCACTTTTCGTGCACTTAGGGGCCCAAAAGGGGCACGAAAAGTGCACGTTTCCCTCCCCCCCCCTTCCCACTGATTTATCGCCCTTTAAGTGAAGCCCAAGCGAGGAGTTGGATTCGGCTGGGGGTCTGGTGGCCCAGCATTGGTTCCAGTGAGCAGGAAGGGGAGTCGAGGTTCTGGGTTCGGGACGATTTTTTTTATTTTTTGGGGCTTCCAGGGGCCAGTTTCGGGCTTGGGGACCGTCAGAAACAAATCCAGGGTGAAGCACTGCACCAGATAGACCCCAGGAGAGGTCCAGGCATCGATTTTGAGCGGAGTTGCCCTTATCCCCCCGTCTTGACGGATTTGTTCTGGGCCCATTTAGCTCAGACTCCCTGGCCGCCTCCAAGCGAGGAGTCCGTGGCTGCCGCTGCGGCCGCCATGGCCTCGCACCACCTGACGCCGCGGAAGCAATTCACCGAGGAGGCGCGCGCTGCTCGCCTGCGGGTGCTGCCGTTGCTCTCTGCTCCGTGCGGGCGTGAAGCGAGGTTACGTTGCGCCCGCGCGAGCTGCGTGGACGAGGACGCTGACGGAAGTGAAGAGAGCATCAGCCGCGTAAATCTCAGAAGGGACTCGAAGGAGTTCGAAGGGTTTGGGAGGGGAATTTGAGGAGGTTCGAACGGGGCTCCAAGGATGATCTCGGGGTCCTCAGAGTGAGGAAGGGGGAGCTCCCCTCCCCCCACCCCCCCCTCCTCCGCCTCCTCCTGCTCCTGCTCGTTGCTCTCCTCCTCCTCCTCCCGCTCGTGCTGCTCCTCCTCCGCCTCCTCGTCTGCCCTGCCCCCCCACCCTGAGCCGGCACGCTGCTCGCCCTCCCCTCGGCGAGGGGAGGGGAGGCGAGGGGGGAGCTCTGGGAGCAGAGGGAGGGCAGGGGCGTGGAGGGAAGAGGAGGAGGAGGAGGAGGAGGAGGAGGAGGAGAAGGGAGGAGGGAGGAGGGAGAAGGAGGGAGGAGGAGGAGGAGGAGGAGGAGGAGGAAGGAGGAGGAGGAGGAAGGAGGAGGATGAGGAGGAGGAGGAGGAGGAGCAGGAGAATGAGGAGAATGAGGAGGATGAGGAGAATGAGGAAGAGGAGGAAAGAGGAGAATGAGGAGAATGCGGAAAATGAGGAAGAGGAGGATGTAGGCATTGGGATCTGTCTGAGCCTCCAGAGACCTCCCACGTGGAGGAGGGGGGCGAAGAAGGCGCAGGAACGGGTGGGAGCGGAGGAATAGAGGGAGTGGAAGACAGGGGGAGGACAGGAAGAGGGGCGGAGGAGGAGGAGGCAGGAGCAAGGGAGCCCAACGCCGCCACGTGACCAGGCCGCGACGACGCGTGCCGCGACTATGTGCGACGACGAACATCGGGAGGAGGAGGAGGAGGAGGAGGAGGAGGAGGAGGAGGAGGAGGAGGAGGAGGGAGCGAGGACGAGGAGGAGGAGCGAGGAGGAGGGAGCGAGGAGGAGGAGGAGGAGGAGGAGCGAGGAGGAGGGAGCGCGGAGAAGGAGGAGGAGGAGGAGGAGGGAGCGAGGGAGGAGGAGGAGGGAGCGAGGAGGAGGAGGAGGAGGAGGAGGAGGAGGAGGAGGGAGGGAGCGAGGACGAGGAGGAGGAGCGAGGAGGAGGGAGCGAGGAGGAGGAGGAGGAGCGAGGAGGAGGGAGCGCGGAGAAGGAGGAGGAGGAGGAGGAGGAGGAGGAGGAGGAGGGAGCGAGGAGGAGGAGGAGGAGGAGGAGGAGGAGGAGGGAGCGAGGAGGAGGAGGAGGGAGCGAGGAGGAGGAGGAGGAGGAGGAGGAGGAGGAGGAGGAGGGAGCGAGAGAGCGAGGACCCAAGGGCACGACGCGAGTCCGGCGAGTGCGAGGAGACGCTGGCGATCGCCGCCCCATCGGAGGCCAATCATTTTCTTCGGCTCCTTCCCGTTTCTTCGATTTCGATTCCGATTTCGATTCCGATTCCGATTTCGATTCCGATTCCGATTCGATTTCGATTTCGATTTCGATTCCGTTCCTCCCCTCCCCCCTCCGATTTCGATTCCGATCCGGCTTGCCGCGATCCGGTTTTTGATTCGATCCATTCGGTCTTGCCGAATTCTGCCGATTCGATGCGTCAGCCGGCGTTTGTCAAATTCTTGCCGACTCGATGGTCGGGTCGATCCGATTCGACTTATCGATTCGATGCCAGGGCCTCATGCTACATGTCGATGGCGTCGCCAGCGGCGAGCTGAACAGCTGCGGCTGGTGGCCGAAGCTCCGACACCGCACCTGCCAGCGCCTGTGTTCATGTCTTGGGCACCGCACGAAGCTGCATCGCCGACGTGGCTATGATATGTTCGCGTCATCTCGACTGGAGGCGACCTTCCGCCGTTCTGCGACGTTGAACGCCGCTGGCGACCCAGAATCAGTCGATGTTGGACGAACTGACGTTTCGGAAATGGCCGATCGTTCAAGGATGAATGATACCCGTGGTGTCAGAAACCAGCACCGAAGTCGGCACGACACAAACCTGCCGTAGGTACCTGGTAGATCAGCAGTGCACGGAACGCACCAAAGCTGCACGGGGAAGGGGGGCAAATCGTGCCGTGAGCGGCCGCGGCGCCTGAAATCTGCCACGTGGTCTGCAACGGCCTTTCTCGCTGAACGGAAGGAGCGAGTTCCATCACGTCAGCTATCGACGACGCTTTCGACTCGTGGGCAGCCTTCTAGCCTCCCGCACGGTCCTCGCTCCCACAGCACGCAGCTCCAGAGCGAAGCGTCGTGCTACTGAGGGGGTGGGGGGGGCACTTGCGCAGCTCAGGCAGGAAATATCTAGTGGCCGCTGGCCCATCCCGTCACCGTGCGTGGGTCGTGGGCAGGGAGGTTTTCGTGGAGCCTCACGGGCCCATCGTGAGGCCTTGGAAAACTCTCTGGGGCCTCTTAGGCTATTCTGCGGGGGCCTCGGGGGCATCCTGGGGCCCCGCTGGCTGTGTCGGGGGCCAACTTGGGACGGAGGGCTCCACATTCAAGTTCAGGTACATCATCTCTGGCCGCTCTGAAGAGCTTAGGAGCGTTTTGGGAGCTCTTGGGGTCCTCGGAGGCTCTCTTGGAGGCCTCGAACGCTGTCGTCGGGGGATGTTCGGAACCGTGCGTGCCGCCTTGAACGCTCAGAAGACCAAATAGCCGAGCGAAAGATGATCCTCGAATCAACGTATGGCTTTAAATGACTTCGGCCCCGTGGGCCAGCTTCCAGGGCCTCGAAGACGGCCCAAGAGGCCCCCACGAGAGCCCTCCGTAGCCATTTTGGCTCAAGCTTTTTCGCCTCAGCCACTCTGTGGCGCTCCAGTGATCGCGTCGCCTCGGCACACGCGTGCCTGCTTCCGCTGCAGACCAGAGCTCACACCTCATCACCGTCTCGCCCGGATGGCGCCGCACCGCCGCAGCGAAGACATGGAGTTCAGCAGCGACAGCGACGCGGCCGCGCCGGCCGCTGGCTGGAGCACCAGCAGGGTCCTCGGTTGCGCGGCGCTGGCGAGTGCCGCCTGCGCCGCGGGCGGCTTCGCGGCAGGTGGCGGCGCCAGCTCACCAGGGGGTGGCCTCGCGGCCAGGCGCGAGTTGCTGCAGGTGCTGGCAAAGCCGGCGCGGGAGAAGTGCAGCGACGTGTCCGGGGATTGCTTCGATACTGCGTGCTGCGACGTGGCTGGCTTCACCTGCTTCGTGACGACCACGCCTGGCTCGGCCCAGTGCATGAAGAACTGCACGCCCAGCGAGACGACGGCCTGCGCGGTGCCTGTGCCCAAGGTCGGCGAGCCGATGTACTTAGACAACGCCGTAGCACCTGGAACATCGATGTATTGCTTCTCCGTTTACATGGCAGACACTGGCAGCGACGGCAAAACCGAGCGCCCGGACGAGCTGAACTTGCTGAAGGCGGCGTACGACAGGAAGATAGGCATCTTCGCGTGCGAGCAGTGGGGCATTTTCAGCGACAAGCCAGGCGACCTGGCCCCTGGCGTGCCCTTCGTGGCGGTGGACGACGCCGATGGTGACTTCCACATTCTCAAACGCAAGGAGACCGGCACCTGGATTAACACAGGATTGCACACACAGGTCTGGAAGGCGATCAGGGCGGCGGGAGACTACCAGCGCGCCAGCTGGGTGGTCAAGGTAGATTGCGATGCGGTGTTCTTTCCCAGCCGCTTGAGGCCCTTCCTTGCCTCCCAGGGCGAGCCTGGGAGCGGTGTGCCCGGCATCTACCTCGAGAACTGCAAATACTGTAAGTGGGGTTGGTTCGGGAACTTGGAGATCATGTCGCTGACTGCCGCCCAGACGCTGTTCCCGAACATCGAATGGTGCAAGCAGGTCCTGGATTGGAAAACGGGAGTGGAGGGCGGCAAGTACGGGCCGATGGGGGAGGACCTTTTCGCTCAGAGCTGCTTAGACGCCATGGGTGTGCGCCGCGGCGGGGCGTTCGACACTACTCTGGACGCGGCCTGCGAGGCGGATCGCCCAGAGGACCAGAAAAAGAACAAGAAATGGAGGCCTGACTGCACGGAGAGGAAGACCGCAGCATATCATCCCATGATGAAGGTGGGTGATTACGTGAAGTGCTTCGAGAAGACGGTGGAGGCATTCGGGTACTGAGTTCTTGGGAGACGCGCTCTGCGACTTACTTCGAAGAAGTGGCAGCGCAAGAGTTGTTGCCCGATACTCGTGCACGGATGTGTCATCAGCACGTTTTTTTGAGCTGCCACGAGTCAACGTCCTCGTGGCTGAGTGCTCGGTCGATGCGAGGCCCGTATCCTCCGAGGTGCGCTTGTGGTGGACCCGCGGCGCGCAATTAACATACAAATTATGACCTCTGGGATGTCGCCAGGGGGGAGATGACTTCTCCTGCGGTGACCTATCGATGCCGACTGCCAAGCTGGAGGCCCTGAACCCATGAGTCGTCATGCCGGCCCACGGAAAAGAAGAGGCCCCCACGAGAGCCCAGGGACGCTCCATTGGGGCTGATGAGATTCCCTGAGCCTTTTTGAACATTGCTTGGAAGGCCATCGGGGGGTACTGGAATCGGTTTGGGCGGGTTGGGATTCCCAGAGGACCACGGGAGAAACGCTGGAAGCAGCTAGGAATTCCGGCAATTGTTGGGCTGGGCCCTTGAAGACTCCGACCATCTCGAGTTTTAGGGCACGCCGCTTCATGCTAAATGCACGGTGAGGATCTTCATCCTGTCCTCCCCTCGCTCCACATCAGCTCTGTCCGACTGACGCCAGCCTCCACGCCATCATCAGGATAGGGCGCGGCGCTTTCTGGGCTCGGAATTGGCACGCGGAGTCATACTCAATCACGCGAGGCATGGTCGAGGCCGAGCTGCGCCTCACCAGGATCGGTGAGCGCCGTGCCGAAAGTTATCTTGGCGAAGGACCCAACCATATGCAGTTGTGAGTAACGCGTTGTGCGTGCCGCTTTCGGTGGAGTTTCCTATAGG